AAGATCGCGCCTGACATTGATTCCAACGGAAAAAACGCGGATCCCTGGTTTTCGGATCGGAACATACCGAATCGATTGCATCCTCGAACCGAGGCATGCGACGCGACGTCGACGTGATGATAGTGCGCGACTTTCCACGATCGGGGCTGGCGACCACGAGATCCGGACGCTGGCTTCGCAAAATGTTGATTCTCGAAGACCGATGAGCTCAAGTCGCAATTACCGAAGATTCCGAACGAAAGAACTCCGAACACGAGACAACATGAGCCCGCGTGAAGTCGGTCAACCAGGCCTGTAGGCTGGCGTAGCAGTAGCGGCGGCAGCCTAACATCAATGGCCGCCCGCGTATCCACGAAGCGGTGGTGGTTCTGAGTGGATTTTGCGCATTAGCGCCGTCCGCATGGTAGACGCGCTCGATTCTGAGATTCGCATCAGAATCGTCATAATTGTCGCTGCACGACACGCGGACGCATTGCATCGGTCGGATGGCACGCTTCATTGGGAATCGTACGCCACAGACACACGCACGATCGGCCCGAGACAGGCGCTCACTCACTGAAACACGACCGCGGCCCGGACGCCGTAAAACACGTTGTTTCTGAGGGACGACAGTTCTGGATTCAGGGATCGCCATCGCAAGCGTTTCATGGCGTGATTTGCATCGAAAAACGCGGCGGAATCAAGGAGCCTTACGCACGGACCTAAACAGCACGCCGTGCTCATGCTGCATTGACGATGCGAAGCGAGCGGGCAGGCAAGCGCGACAAGAGAATCCTCGTGAAAACGCGTTTCGCGACCACGAGTGACGGCTCGCGATGGGGATGATGTCGATTTACGCAGAGGATTGACGCGGGAGCACGAATTTACTCACCGTAAATGAGGAGAGACGACTCAACGACTGCCGCTACCGCCGCCGTGGGCTGCTGACTGCTTGCTCGCTTCCTCGCTCGCTTGCTCATTCGGCGGCGCGGCGGTGGTGATCGCTTGCTGCCGAGTGTGAGCGGCGCGAAACAAGATGGCGTGCCTCCGCGCCCGTCCACCGCTGATTTGGCGGGAGAACTCTAACCGTCGGTCAAGTGACGCACGCGACCATGTATGCAGACAGGGGGTCATTCCCTGCAGGCAAGTCCAGAGGGACTTCGCGAAACGGCGTGCTTCCACCCGCCGGTTCGCGCGAGGGCGATTTCTCCCTGGGACCGATTTTTGTCCACGGAAACCCCCGAAAGGACCAGAAGAGACGATCATACCAAGCCGTGCTTCGAAAAGAATCGCGAAACTGATAAGATTACGTATTCGAAAAATATCGCAGATCTTATGTTAGACATTCTCGCTCAGTTTGAGATGGTGTGGAGGTGGCCAGGTGGACTGCGTCGGTAGGGTGAAGCCCCTAAGCTCACTAGTCCTCCGGCACATGTCGAACGAACACTACGGAATACGGTACCGATGGGCGACTCAGAAGCGCACATCCCGCGTGAGACTTCCCCTCTCTATCTGCTGCAGCATTCCCTGCATATTTCCCCCGCAGTGCTATTTGCCCGTAAATGGAGATTGCCAGCCTTCCGATCTTCCGTGTATCCGTGGATGACAAGCTGTTGGAACATTCCAACACAAGCGAGGAGAGACAGCCCGTGCTTCTGGATGCCCGCAATCCACAGAACAAAAAAGGGGAAATCGTCGTGTCAGCAACTGAAGCATTTCGAGATCGTGCTTCTTCCCTGCAGACGAACACCTCCCTCCCTGCGGTTGCGACCAATTTTTTTGAGTTTTGGCACCTGATCGTCCAGCGACAGATTTCAGCGAATTTGATTCGCGGAAAGACCCGAAATGCCGCTGTTTGCCAACGATGCGGGGAGCCGAAAGAGATACAAGCGTCGCGTGTATAGACGGCGTGCAAGGGACCTCCGTGGCTTCGCCTAGAATGAGACTTACCTAAGGAGTACCACGACACGAATTCGCGAGAGGGCGCTCGGGGCGCGAATTCCTGGTCTTTAGAGACCTGCGCTATCCCAAATTGTGTCTGGTTGGCAGCCAATTCATGGAATAGAGAGGTCTCGCTCAGTTCTGAAATCGGAGAGGCTGCGTTCTCATCCTCCAGAGGGAACCGTCGCGGATAATAACTCTGCATGCGGTGACTCCTAGGCCTCCATCTGCTATTTCCTCGATCCAGCTAGATTCGCTTGCCTCCATTGAAGCCCTCCGTGCAGTCCCAGCCGTGGGAGCCAGAGCAGCAATTATGAAGAAGAATCTCCGATCCGGTCCGAGTCTCGATGTCGTCAATCCATATGGTTCCCAACTTCGTTTCGTTCGGATGCTAGCTTCGGTGGAACCCCAGATCGAGTCACGACGAGCCGGCGAAACCTCGCAGATGCGCTCCAGAACGCCGGTTCCGGAAATTGATTCTCCGGGTCTATGACATCGGCCGTATCCATTCGGTTGGGTCGCCGCCGAGGAACGTCGACACGAAGGCGGACGGCAGCGACGGCCGGTCAAAATAATAACATGATTCCATTGAGTCAGGATCAAGAGAGCAACGAATACCATCCAGGGTTTCCCGAATCAGGAGGAGCTGTCCCACATAGAGCTTCGCGTAGGCAACGGAGACCGTCTGCATTCTCGTATATCCCCGTAATTTCACGGTCACGATACTCAAGGCCGCTCAAACAATACGTACTACATGCGTTTTACGTAGGGAACCCCCATAACTTGCGCTCCCATCTCGTGAAGTGGGATACATCGCTCCGAGAGCTCCTTCCGGATCGTGTTTCTCGACCCATGTTGAATTCACTTCACCGATCGCTCGGCGCAGTAGTCAGCAGCAGCGCCCAGGACCACTGAGCAACCGACCACGCGCGATATTGCACGGTGATTCGCGAGAAACTCCGCTTCTTCGAATTTGAGGCTGGGAGAAATCGTGGACTGCGATATTTCCGCTAACTTCCACAATCTTTCGGAGGACGGGAAGATTCATGAATGGGTCCTCCTTGTAAAGTCCTCGAGGTACATATCTCACCCTTCCAGAGCAGCGCTATAATCTGCAACTTTCTCTTGAAAATTCAGGACATTTTGCACAACGATTGGCAGGATAAGACACCGTTCATTGGCTGGCAGACGAATCATTCGCAATCACATGCTCTTCCTGTTCTCAACTGACCCCCGAGGTTGGGCCTCGGGATCTCACGGGATTCCCGAGGATAACTCGAAGATCATCTCGCCTTCGAAGTACATCGATGGTCCCCATACGGATCTTGACCTCTTGGATGGGGACATAGATTGACTGCGATGGCCAAAGCCATCAATGACCAGTCGTCTAGCAGTCGATCAGCGTGTTTCCTCCCCGATTCGCCTTGGAAGCTGTCCCGCGATCTGGAATAGGGAATGCGCAAGGGTCGCGGTCGCTCAACGTTTTCTTTGGTTAGAACACCGCGACCCGCCACTCTACTGGCGAAGCACTGCGGTCCGAGATCTCGTTGGAGTGGAATCGCGGACTCTCGGAGGACCCTCATGGCAGATGAAGGCGACCTGGGATCCCAAGATACCCCAGATGGACCATATTGGAAGGCCTTGTTCAAGCTCTGAACGGGATCTTGCGCCGTAATCTCGACAACTCCTCGATCCTGCGGAGAGTTTCTTCCAGCTCGAGACGCTCCCTAGTTAAAAGTCTCAGGGAAGCTCGACGGTGGTAGACTGATCCAGAGTGAGAAGCGGGCTCGAGCTCGTAGGAAGCAATTCCGCTGTGGACGGTGCTCCCTCGCATGTGCGAAGCGGCGGAGTGTTGTTCGGCGACGTACTCATGACTCATTATGGCCAGAATCATAAAAATCACCCCACGGAAGATACTCGTCGTCTGGATAATTTCTTGTTTCGCTAGGAACAGGCGTCACCGCTGCGTCAACGAGGATCGAAAGGATGAAAGCGGGGAAAAGTTTCGGAGCATCCTGACTCGCTGATCCGACCTCGCCGAGTTCTCGTGCCAATAATCTGCAACATAACCATTCTCACTTTTAGTTCTCATCCGCATCGATCTCCTGGAGAGCTTGGAAGGGCTCTGGAGGGAAGATTGCGACGGCGGTTCCTCGATTTTGCATCATTGAAATGTACTGGTAGCCCGTCATCCGCGATTACGCCGGGATCTCTGATGGCACCGCGCCGCGGGTGTGACAATTATTGACGCTGGACTCATTTTCCCTGGAAGGGCCAACGCCTCCTAATTCCCCTGTTTCCGCCAAGTGTCGCGCCTCATCTCTCCCAACTCGAAGTTTTCTCATCCACGGAATCGAATGTCCCTAATTCAATGTCGAAGCTCTCCCATGATACTTGAACCGCATGTCTATCGTTGAAGACGGAACGCACTTGAAGTCTTAGATGACCGATATCTCCTTGTCCGAAAATGTTGACGTGTGCGCGTATACTTCTCTCTGGAAGAAACTCCTCTACGCCGACGGAAACCGGAGGGATATGCTCCTTCGTGCGGATAATCACAAAGGGCGGAACCTTGAAACCGAGTAAATTCCGACTCGGCACCGTGTTAACTTCCGATTCAGTACGTGGCCGAGGCTGACAGAATTTTTCCTTCGACATATGTTTCCGGCGGAAGTGACAGACACCGAGTTCGGTCTTCGGATTGAGCCCCTGACTGCGATTTGGGTCGGGGCAACTCCTCGTGAGAAGATGACATTGTCAATCTCAGATGATTTCGCTCAAAAACAAGGAAAATATTTCGCCGTTTCAAGAGACATGATTTCTACGTTTCCTTCGCTATCTAGCAGATAAATCTGCTAAAGAACAAGGTGGTCCAAGAGCCAGATCTTTGCATAAGTAGATCCGGAGCCGGCAGACTGTGATTCAAGCGTCATCGACGGGAACCCGCGTTTTCTCCATGGAAAACGCACTGTAGGAGGATGCTGCGCGCTGATTCGAATTTTCGCGCGCTGAAGTTTCGACTTATCGGATGAACGAATCGGATGGTTGACCGCCCCGCGCAACATCGAGTGGCTGTTTAGTCCAGTTCCGAACTTTGTCTGGACACTACGGTTTTCCGAGAGTGAAGCACGAGAACGCCTCCCGTATTCCGTGGCTGTGCGGTCGGTGCTCTCGACAGGTCGCCTCTATGAGGTCGCTTCTTCCTACGCTCGAAAGGCAGGCAACACCGACCAGAACAAGTGTAGCTAGTGCTGCTTAGTGCGAGGTTGTGTTGAAGCTTCAAGTCGATCGGTGGTGTTCCCAAGGATCGACTAACTCCGCAATGACTCGGTCGTGAGTTCCCCAATCTGCCTGACCATCTAGAATGGGCAAGTGCAGATCTCGGACCCGGTTCGTCCCGGCTTTCTTCTCTTGGCTCCTGCTTATCGTAGCCACAGCCATCTTCTTTATATTCCCGTGAGTTCAAACCTAGTTTCGGAACTTATCACTAGTGTTTCTCAGCTTGTCAGTGCATTAGTCATCCCTCACAGGGGAAACCCGACTCATTACCAATGTCGGCGAGAGAAATCTCCATCCCTGTCACCGCATCATCTGCTCGAAGCGTTCAAAATACGTTCCCAGTGCAGGAGAGTGATCGGACACGGAAGTGTCCGACCGGGTCTGCTCTTCCTCTGAACGTCTGTCTCGCATGGTATCTGGCCTCAGTTTCACGCTGCGATGCTCCTTGTCGTCGGCGATTTCGATCACAGACTTTCGGAAGCGGAAATGCTCATTGGAACACTTGACTCTCTGAACACGAATCCTCATGGGAGAACCCTCCTGAGTGACCACGGCTCCGTTCAGCCTTCCTCGCTCATCGAATGGAGCATCTTTTGGGTCTTCCGCGGATAAACGCGGGTGCCGCCCGGATATCGCTGCACGATAAAATCATCCTTCAAAGTGGCGTAACGCGTAACCATACAGCGATGACTTCGCCTTCGGCAACTCTCCGCTTGCTCTCGTCTATATCGGTCCCAGTGGGATTCGAGCATGCCTGGATCGAATTATTCGGAGCGATAACGTTGCCGCAACTTCCGGGTAGCGTCGAAACGATCTTGAGATAGCCGTCCGTGACGGCTACATTCATCCGCCCTTCCAGACGATTAGCTCACTCGGCGAATCAAGCTGCTCCTCCTTCATCAATGATGGCGTGTGCTTGTTTATATGCAAAATCGAAAGTTCTCTGATGGTGATTTTCGGGAGTACGTCTTATGTGTCAGGACTCCGTCAATCGAGTGCATGGGAAGCATCGGGGTGAGACCCCGACTCAAACGGAGGTCTTTTTAATATCTTGCGTGCGATCCTAAGTTCCTCCCCGCTGCTCAGTAATCAGCTGCCTTCCATCGCGATCAGGACGGTAACGTTTAGCGGTCAGATCAGAGGCTTCATTTGTTCTCTCGATTCCTCGTCCTGGTCAACATGGTTTTGAAGGCCTCCTCTCATTCTGCTGTAGGGGGGGAAGGGATTAGAGCGCCACTTTCGCTCGAAGACCCAACAGTCTCTGGAGCACAGGTGTACCTCAACTCGCGACTCGCTGACCGTGTTGCTCCGACTCTGACTCTTAGAAATCTATCGCGTGAGCCCCGCCTTAATTCCTCCGGTGAAGTTGGCACGCTCGAAACTCGATATCCTCGTTGCTCCTGCGCTCCTGGGGGTATTTCTGAGATCAAGCCCCGAGAGAGCGATGAATAGAGACCTCAGACGTCTCGCTTATACTCGACAACCACTCCCCTCACTCCAGGGGGAAATTTCGCGGACGGACAGCTCGACAGGGACAGACTAGAGAGACACTCGATTCTCAGATGCTTCCTCCTCCGTGGAGGGACGAGTGTTTCGTCCGCTCTCTGGTAGTCGGCCTGCTCAAGGATCCAAGGAGGTGGCCTATGTGGTAAGGGAGAGAAGCAACCGCCGAACCAAATCCCGGATCTCGCCGGGAACCCGTGCTATGGTTCCTCGACTCGTGCCAATCCACGAGGAGCAGTCGCACGGATTCGACTGGTTTAAAGGAAATTGGATGTCATGGCCTAGACCGACACAAATCAGGAAGGCTCCTTAATTCCGTAGATCCTGCTGAGAACGAACACTTTCATTGGATCCGTGGGGCCGGATATCCACAGCGACACCTGACACTTCAAATTAAACAATAGATAGAATCGTCAAGCCCGTATGCTATTGAGCACGTTCAAAAATAGTGTTCTGAACGGACTCATTGCCCGGAACCTGGGCGCGGCTCCCTCTCTGCACCCGAATACACGGGGCGATTTTTGATTGAATTGAATCAAGCGATTCCTTGGATCCCGTGTTCACGATTCCCGGACTCCGAGATGGAATCCTTGCACTGACTCTCAGGGTAAAATTTATGGCAAGATCGCGTAAGGGTGTATGTCGCTGCCGCGGGCAAAACCGACGTTCCTACGATAGATTGCGAGTGTACTCTCGCAGCCAACGGCAGCCAGGCTCGCTGCGCTCCCTTCGATTCTCGGTATTCAAGCCTAAATCTCCGCAGATTTTCGCGGACGGTATCGCTGACACGAAGGGGCAACAGCGTACCCAGGGGGCAGGGGTGCGTGGCGATGCCCCTAATCTGAGTCCGATCCCAGATCTGTCACGAGTTGCCCTCCGACACCCTCTATTGATTCGATCTAACGCGATGTTCTGCTGACAGAGATCGTTTTCCGGTGGAAGGAGCGGGTCTGCGGAGCTGTCCCGTCTGTCGGTCGAGTGCGGTATCGGAGTCGCGCTCAATGGGTCCGAGGAAGTTGTGGCGTAGGTACCAAAAACTGTATGTATTGGCAGGGAGTGGGATCAGTGCTTCATTGACTCGGCAAAATGGGCCTGATGCCGACGACCTCGAGTGGAGGTTCTTCGAAAATCCTGGGAGAGCCTCTACGAGTCATGGAACTTCTGCGGGGAGGCTGCCATTGCGGAAAATTAGGGAGTGGGAGTCCGTCGTTTAACTTCAGGGATGAATTCACAGGGTCGTGTGCCTTCATGCAGGTCTGCCGGTCACATCCGAACTTCCATCCGGAGCTATTTCGGGATCGATTCGAACGATGGAATCGAATTCTTGATTAGCTCTGACTAATGAGGATACGTTTCCTTTCAGATGTCAAGCTTTAGCAGAACAGTACAATCTCACGGTGTACATAGTGCAGGGGATTGTCACTTGTTTTTTAGTCATCAACTTCGCCTTAACAACCTTCACGAATCCAGGTAAGAAGCTGCTTCCCGTATCGGAACAATTCGCACGGAAGATGCGCAGTAATGAACAGATAGCGGATCAGCCACCCACAAAGCCATATCGGGCGAAGAGGGAAACCGAGTTGCTCTGCAGCGTTGCTGATGCGACTCAATCGGAAGCTGTTTTTATCCGAAGCCTGAGGCCTTGCCGCACTACACACTCAGTCGATCAGCTGTAACCCACACACAACGCCAAAAAAACTCAATGTCGCCGTCGGCGCGGCTAAAGAGACCAATATCGGTGTCAATCCCGATTAGGACTTGCGTCTATCGACGAATTCTGACGAGCGAATTGAATTAGGGAGCCCGATCACGGTATCAGGCTCGAGATAGTTCAGGGCACCCGTACTATGGAAAGAGCGTTTGTTAGAAGCGGCCGCGTCGCACAGGTGCCTCAGCCGCTTTCGAGGAGGTGATCTCAGGGAGAAACCCTTCGAACACTCATTTCCTCTGCGTGGGGGCAGGGCAGGCCGATGGTGTCATTCATTGATTCCCTGCTCGTCTTCTTCAGCATCGAAATCGTCGAACTGACCTGTTCATTTGAATATACCCCGAGTGCGACTCATCCTGGCCCCGGATAGTCATTTTCCCTAGCCCCTTCAGCCTGAGCTATGTTGGGAACAAGAGTCCGGGACTTCCGATGATCGTTAGCTCATCGATGGCTCCCCCTTGCATTCATGCTCGGAAGACTTGGGCACGCCACGCCTGTGCGACTGCGAATGAAAAATCCATTTCTCTTCCTCCCCCCAGGTATCATTCCGAAGGAGAAATGCCAGGCTAATGACGCTGATGAATTCCGCTTCCCACTGTTCAAGAATACTCAGATCAATGGCGTCTCGGTACACCTGAAATGGTGCACGACTTGCCAATTCTATCGGTGAGTACGGAGACGACGACTGATGCTTCGAGCTCGATTCCGCTTAACAGAACAGGAAGAGCACTGGTTGTGGCCCGATGGATTTTCCCCCTGACTTATCCATGTCTACGAATCTTTTGCAGACCGCCGCGTGTCTCTCACTGTTCAATTTGCAACGCCTGCGTCGAGACGTTCGACCATCATTGTCCGTGGGTGAACAACTGCATTGGCCGTAGAAACTACCGGTTTTTCTTCCTGTTCCTGGTATTTCTCAGCGTTCATTTGTTGAGCATCTTCGCATGGTGTATCGTGTATGTACTGAACGAGACAAACCGCAAAAACATCACTTCATTGCAAGGATGCTTCACAATAGGTGAGACTGAATTCTATTCCTCTCCGGAGGACGAGTCTTCGCGACACCCATCAAGACCCTACTTCCCGTCAGTGGCGGCGCCAGCGGGAAGCTTTGTAAGCTATAGCTTCCTAAAAATTTCCGGATCATAGATATGTTCCATCGGTTTCGGAGCATTCAGACTGCTGCTGTCGATCATGCCGGGTTGAATTTCTCGAGGTCACGAGAAAGACTTGATCCCGCACATGCGCTTGGACGCACTACACGCACGCAACCCCAAAACGCGGGTTTCCTCTTTCATGATTGGTGATCCGTCATCAACATCTGACCGAGAGCTGAGAACTTCCAAATCATATCGTGGACGAATTCGCCAAAGGCAACGATCGGACAATTGCCCTAGTGGTATGACTGTGATTCAAACGCTTAAGTGAGTCGTATCTCAGCTCGTCGCTGGGAAAGTAACATAAGACGGAACGCGGAAAGTCTCCGCTGCTTCTACTATATAATGTACATAGATATGTATCATTGTATGCATCTAAGCAACACTAATACTTGCCCTATGGAGTTATTCTTTGTGTCTCCGAGCGCGCTGACTTCCTTGTTCGGGGGATGCTGTATCCAAGGAACATTCAAGCTTCCCGAAAAAAAATGACTGGCGCCGCCACTGCTTCCCGTCATCCGAAGGAACAATTCTGATTTCCCTGTCCCCATCCCCAGGAATCATGCTCTTGTGCTGCCTGCTCTTCTTGCCTATATTGGGGCTCACAGGATTCCACATGGTTCTTATTGCTCGAGGCCGCACCACAAACGAACAGGTTCGATATTTTTATACGTCCCGGATTCGATGAGGCAATTCGCAACGACTCCAACTAGTCGGGGAAACGATCTCATCGACGTGTCGTCGGCACGATTAGAATTCGCGGATGATCATATTGAATGGTGAAACAATTATGACGTAAGGCGAGAGCTATTTTTGAAAACTGTTCCTCGATTGACCAGGTGACGGGTAAATTCCGCGGCGGTTACAATCCATTCAGTCAAGGTTGTGCCCGGAATATCTGCTACACCTTGTGCGGTCCGATGTATCCAAGCTACAAAATTGCGTCGACAAGAGTCCGTAATGTCGAGGAGCTCAAGGTTGTCTACACTGATAAACGGTATGTGAAACCCAGTTATACGTGAACATTCCACGTCGATCCTCATGGGATGTATCGCCGACCCGATGAAGAGGAATTTCTCTCAGGTTGAGAAGAACCCCTTATATTTTTTCTTGGGGTGGAATGCCTCGCATGCGATTCTCCATTCTCACTCTCATTCATCTCAGGTTGGACAAAATCGAGCTCCATTCAGGAGTGGCAGCTGTCTCGGGAGAGAAAGACACGAAAAGCCGTGAGGAGACGCTCAATTTACCACTGAGCGGAGCGAGTCGTAAGCAAAACTGTATCATCGAGGCTAACACGGCTCCCATCGGAGCTCGGCCGACCGGTGGTGTCAGGGTATTACCGGCCTCAGCACAGCCTAAGTGAGTGGCTCACGAGACGCTTTCTTTCGCCTTATTCGATCGACTCCGACAGCCCGCATTTTATTCAGAGAGCTCAATTGGCCTTAACTCATGCTCGATCATCTCGTCTATCCTCCGCAGAATCCTCTCACCACCGTGTGAAAGCTCAAGTGGAGGTCCGAGCTCGCCGCCGAGAGGTGGTGTCGGGCACCCTTTCGCGCAGCAAACCAGCTCCAACGGTGGAAGTAATAACAATAATTCGGAAAGAACGCCGGCCCACAGCGGGATGGGTTCCCTAGTCCGTAAGGTGAGTCGCAGTGTAACAGTGGAGCAATAAGTGACGAAAGCTCGACACCAAGTGTCGGGAGTTTCGCCGGAAACTATGACTCCGTAATCCATGCAGTGAGGAATCAGGCTCCCGAAGAATCGGAACGTTCAGCTCACTATCCATTGGCATTGGGAGTATCACTGTCCCGCTCTCTCTTCTCTAAAGCACCTACGATCAGGTTTTTCCGTTTCCTCTAGGGCTCCGAGACCGAATTGTTGGTCACAGCTAGGTCTGAAGGCTCTCAGGTCAATCGCACCGTTCTGAATTGGACAGGCAACGCCCAGCAAAACAAACAACTAATGACGCCAGGTAGGAGACTCATCTTCAATATAGCAGGAACTTGATCATTCTGACGTTCCAATGAAGTTGTCCGCGACTAGAGTAGAATTCGTTTCGCGGATCAGAACAATTCGCCAAATGGAGACGGAAACGACCTTCCGACCCCTGGTCTCTTGACACAGGTACTCTGAGCGAAGTTCTCAAACTCTGATGCCTTTCTCCTGCAGGTTCTCGTCGGCCAATTCTATCCGACGGTTCAAGCAATTATGAGATTTCGGTGTAAAATAAGGACGAAGAGCCACTGGATACCCAGATTGAAAGTTTGCGCCGCCGAACTTCCAGAAGGTGACTTCTACACGAAGTTGCAGCGAGAAATCAAAACCCCAGTATCCTTCATTCTTTCACGATGACGGCTAGGAAACTAGACGTTCATGATGACCTTCCTCGAAGGGAGAAGGTTTCGGCCAAGGTCGAGAGTCCGGATAGAGCAACCCTCATCTTCTCGATTTGGGAGTCTCGTCTACACGTCTCGATCACTGCGTGAGAGTTTGTTCAATGCGCATGGCGGTTCGGCGACCTTCCGAACCACTGCTGCGAAGCCTAGTCAATTTCGAGTCAATGAAAGCATAGGGGCAATTTGGCGAAGCTGTTAGAAGTGTGTGTTATCTACAGGTGCGAGCAAAGGTTTTCGGGGACGTGCCCGTCCTACGTTTCCTTGATCCCTCCGGGGATTATGTAAATCCTTAAGGTCAGACCGCGAAGCTTCTTCGAGCATATGACATCTATATTCGCATTTGCGAGCGAACAAAGCTCCTCAGCAGCCAATGGAGTTCACAAGAATGTTTCCTCCAATGGCAGCTCTTGGTGAGTAGACTTTTCGTAGGCGCTCCCGACGAATTCGATCAAGAGATTGCTGGACAGACGGTGACGGCGGAGAACTTGCGGGAAAATGCGGTGGCTGGGTGTCGCGAGGCAACTGGCTGTTCTCTTTGAGGAGTTCCACCTCCGGTTTCCTACGGAAAAAGACTCCGTGTAGAGTTTCTATGACCCGAGCGGCTCGCCTACTTCGACGGAACATACTGCCTGAGTTGAATGAGTTGAAAACTTTCGCGTATGATCAAACCGTCGGTTGCTTATCCAATTTTTCTTTTATGATCTCTAATGACTACGATGACAATCGGATTCCGAGAAAAATGACGAATTCTTGTGAGCTATAGTTCGCTGGATAAGTGAAGCTTTGCGTTTTCGACAAACCACTAGTTGAATGACGGTGCGAACCGACCCACTTGGACGTAGATCCTGCCATATAATTCTACATCTCCCGGTTACGATATCTTACACAGCAGGTTTTACCGCCGATTTCCTCCGAAAACAAGGAATACTCAACCTGAACGTTTCCGACGCGCCTGTCGTTTCTTTGAGCTTGAGTTTTTGTTCCGATCATCGCGAGCCGTCCAAACCGTTGATGCAGTGGACTAATTAAGACGACTAAACAAACGCTTGAGTTCATGAACTCGATTTTAAGTTGAACGAAGGAGAGGGAACTTTTGCTCACAACTGTACATAACTGAATTTCTTAACTTTGTCAGGAAGGAAGCGAAAAATAATGTCGAAATAAACGACCGTGATATAAACCTTCAATTCAGCGTGCTCTTGATAAACTCAGCTTGTGTGCAATACCGATTTTTCAAACTAGCGTGCTTCATGCCAAATGCGCCGAAACAAAGAAGCGAGAATTCCTCGAGGTGGATAGAAACGAACCAGGGACTCCGAGAAAAAGATGCCCGATGTCATGTGTCCTATTCATGCTATACATTCGGGATCACGAGACCAAACTCCAGAACCGCGGAGTCGGGTTCCAGGTCAGAACAGCGGAATCCATCCCATTTGCAAAAAACTCTAAGTACCGTGGGACAGCCCTATCCGACTCCAGAAACTACCTCAATGCACATGATGAGGCCTGGGCGAAAGGGGCGGATTCCGCCCTGCATGCAATGCATGCTACGTCTCTCTAGGGTTTCAACCGATTCGAAATCACTAGAGTGCAGTGGAAAGCAAGCGCCGTCCTGAAACTCTCCTACGCCAAATCGGTCTTGGTGAGGAGCGCTAATTTGAGGGACACCCTGAATGGAGCCCAGCGAAAAACCGGGAAATGGGCACTAGGGATTCCAGGGTCGAAAGTATCGAACGAGTTCGTCGAGGGCGAACATAGATGGTCATCCTCCGGAGCACGGGATGCCCAAAACAAATTGAGATTCTTCGGAAGAGTGAGATCGATGCCTGAAAATAGATGGCCGAAAGCAATCTTGAGAATGATGGAGCTCACTCAGAAGAAAACCAAGGCGTACCAGGAGACCGAACGACTTTGAGCAAAATACAAGTGTTCAGACATCAGTCTCCAACTCGATGGAGAAAGACGCCCGCTCTCTAATATCTTCAACAAAAGGACCAAAGAAAGGATGCGAGAGACGCAAGAGGCGATGAGGAGAGACAGCATGCTGCTCATGACGAGCCTCAGTACTTACACCAAGGGAAAGAAACTCGAGGTGTAACTGACTTCACCTACGATAACGGTGAGGGGAGCGCCCTCCTAGCTTTGGCCAGAGCCTACATGTTGCCAACCAGAGTTCACAAGACCTACCCCGGAACCTATAAAACCTGTCCCAGGGGTGGCATCTATGAGGAGACGATGAAACACGTCATCAACGAATGCAACGACATCTACCACACGGGGAAGAACTCCTGTGCCGTCTCGGATTTCACGAAGAAGCGAACAACGCAAGCGAAGTAAGAAGGACAGAGAGAACATGAACTTCTCTCTGAAGAATGTAACAGCGGCTTGTGCATCAGCAAGTCTTCTGACAGCTGAGCCGGTGACCGGGTTCGAGTGTTCGTCGCAGAAGTAAAGCGAAAACCAGCTCTATCAGATCCGGATCTTGCTCTCGTAACTCCACACGTCGCACAATGGCTTTTCCGTCACTTGAACGCAATTATGATACGTCTCTGGTAGCGCTGCCTCCCATCAAGGAGGAAGCTCACGAGCTCCAGGTCTGAATCGGAGCCCGGGACGAACACGGAAGGGTGATGCATACCGTGGATCAAGATCCGCGCGGAGTGCGGGTCCCAGAAGCAGTGGTTTTGGGTAAGAATTATGGCTCTCAGGCTCTGGTTTCGGCTCCGGAGGGCAGCCAAGCTCAAATCCGCACCCCATGGGAGGAACCGTCGCAGCCTTGATCCCAATTTCATCGTCATTGGCAAGTTCGCCGCGTTATTCTTGGTCATAAGGGCTGGGTCCGATGCGTTGCGTTCGATCCTGGCTACGAGCGGTTCTGGTTCGGCTCGAGCGACCGGATGGTGAATATTCGGGTAAACTAAAGCTGTCGCTAACCGGGCACATCTCGGAGGTTTGCAGTCTCGCAGTGAGTCCGCATCGTCCACTCTTGTTCAGCTGTGGAGAAGATAAACCAGTGGAATGCTGGGACCTCTAGCAGAACAGAGTGATCCGAGATTACCACGGTCATCGCTCTGGGGTATACGCTCTGGCTTTGCATTCTACGATCGATAGACGGCGGCGGTCGGGACTGGACGGCTCGCGTGTAGGACATGCGTTCGAAGTCCTGCGTCCGCACACTCGCGGGTCATACAGGCTCCGTGGCCGATGTCCTGGTTCAAGAGACCGAACCTCAAATCATGAGACGGGATGGCACGAGCAGAGGGGGCGTGAGTCGTGAATGCTCAGGAGGACATCCCGCATTGAGTCGTAGTTGCACTCTTTGTATAATATAAACGATCGGGGCTTCCGGAAGACCTGTACAATCAAAGCGCGATAATAAAATGGCGATAATCATAATTTTTAATAATCGATCGATAATTTCGGATGATCCGTGAGAACACCGTCGTCATTCGAATTTCCTCCCCTCATCACCGTCAAGTCACGTCTCCACCCTCTTATCTCCATTCCATCAATCTAGTTCGCATTATCGTCAAGGGTGCCCAAGACTCTTCCGTCTATTGCGCTGTCTTCCATCCTCCTCACGTCACCGTATAAGAACCGTTCGTCATCTCGTTTAACTCCCGATTTGAACCTCATGTGTTCGCACTCGTGTAACGGGACGACACGAAGCTCATTCATCATGCTGCTCGTTCAATTGCATTATAATATCAGTTCGATATTCCGATGCTACCCACGCGATCCCAGTGGACAATTCTACGCTCTCGATGGCTCGTGTGCTCCAGAACTTGACTAGCTGCTGCAGTGTCCGTGGACGACAACCGGAAACCGAGCGCCGGGGTTCTCCATGGGTACCTAAAAATTCGCACATTCTGCCATGAATGCTTCTGCGTGCTTGTCTGGCTTTTCTCGAACTTTCTCTCTCATGCAGACGTTTCCGTACCTGGGCTGCTTCTTCCTTCCAGCATTCGAAGAGTTCAGCACTTGAGAGCTCCGAGGAAAAGAAAGCTGTACCATCAAAAAATCAGTATGATCTTCGTGGACGGGACCCACGGCTTTCGGCTTGATCTCATTCGCTCCGATCGTGACAGTCGAAAGGAAAGCTTTTCCCCGTAAACGGGAAAGCATGCCTCACGTGCATTCACGAACGGATATGCTGGGTATCATACGATTCCCTCGTTCGACCACGGCACCGATAAGAAAAACGCGGATTATCCAGTGCGTATGATGCCCTCCTAGGTTTTCAGCAGCTTGATTTCTTTTTTCTCAAAAGTCTTCCAGTCTTCCTTTTCTGTTCCCAGCGCCTGAATTTCCTAGCTCTTTCAGACGAAATCTGGAGTACAAAGTATGACATGGATATGATGGAGGGTTCCGGGACACGGGTTCTCGAGAAGGGCCTCGCAAGAATCACCTGCGATAATCCTCGGACTAAGAAGGTCGCCTACGACGAGATTCAGCTCCGAAAATATCCGGAATACGGGACGCAAGAGTTATTTGACTTCGAAAACCGCGCCGAAGCGCCATTTTCCAAGATGGCCGCCCCTTCCGACCCGTCCGGCGAAATAGGCAGGTTTCCGATGCCTAGGTGATTTGCGTTTTGCTGTGTGCTACTCTGCAGGCTGTGCCACAAGAGTATTAGAAGCCCGAGGACATTGCATAGCTAAACTGATTCGAATGGACACCAGCCGGAGTGCTTTGCTGCTGCGGAAACAGCTTAACGGTAAGAAAATACAGCGTAACTCAATTTGACCGGATGCCTACTTGTGCTGCTGGTGCTGCCAACGAGGGGTGGCCGCTCGCCGCTCGAATTGCTCTCGCAATTCGGTGTTCTCCGAGGCCCTTCGCATGCGAGTCTCGGGAATCCAATGGCTCTAACCCAGGATGCGGCGTGAATCCGGGATTGGCACAGCTTTGTGGGAACTCCCCGGGAAAATCGCTACTCTTACTCACGTAACGCCCAACTATGGGGTCTGTTTCTTTTCACACGGGAGGAACACTTCCGAGAATGCGCTCGGCTCACCCCTTTGTGCGCATTCCAAACGAAATCCCGGACTTACAGGGGTCCGTGTCAATCGCAAATAGTGCCTCGTTTCTCTGCGAGGACATTTTGCCAGCGCATGCCATGAGTATGAGCATTGCACTTCGGGGGCGCATTTCCCCTCCCTTGCATGGATCGATCGCATCGCCTCGTCGATCTCAAAACTACGAGGGAACTGCATTCGAGATCGAGGCTCGGGAGCCATGTCGCGAGATGTGTCTGATGTCCGAATTCTGGAATTCATGTCCGACCGGGGCTCGTCACCAAATTCTTTTCCTCGTTAGGAAGCGAACGTTCATAGCACACGCTTCATTGCGAACATCGCGCTTGCGATTCGCCCATAACGCATCGGGAGAGATTGCGAGAGCCTTTCGCACGATATCATTCGGCTCCGGGTCATCCGAGCCCCATAGCTCTCCGGTCATGAAGAGCTGTGCCTGTTTCTCGCAATGCGTGAGAGGGGTTGGAGGCTGCCAAGGCTTGCGAGTCTGTCGGGAGTGGATTCGAGAAGAAATACGAGAGAAGAAAATCGAGGGTACATCTTGCCCCGGTACGAGCCCGGGACGTTGATTCATGGGTTTCTCAGAGAACGATCCTTTCACGTCGACTCGGTAATGCCTTGATTATTGATCAGATTCCCCGAGCTTTTCCGTGGACTTGAAAATCGTGAACCTTCCTAAGACTCATAGGTCGCATTGTTCGCTGTTGAATGAAGCCCAATCGATTGTCCTTATCAACGGTCCACCGGAAGGCGCAATGAGATTAATTTATGGGCACAGGGACAATGGGAAGGTCTACGAATCCACGGAGAGTTCGAACCTCAGGTCAAATTGATTGAGTTAGAAAATACCCCGTAGCGGACCTCAGCTCTCCGCGGAACGAGAACTACATACCTCCGCAAATCATAAGCGAGATGAACTCAGCATGATTCGACTCGATGTGATGTTGTTCTTTCTTCCCCGCAGAGCTGAAGAAAAATCCTGTAGAGGGCTTCTCCGCCGGTCTCATCGATGACAATGACATCTATAAGTGGGAGGTCCTTATAATCGGTCCCCCTGATACGCCTTATGAGGGCGGCTTCTTCAAGGCACACCTCTTCTTCCCTGGAGAATATCCCATTCGTCCACCCAAGATGAAGTTCATCACTGAAATTTGGTGAGTTTCGAAGGCTTTGACTTTCGCGATTCCTGAAACTAGGAGGAAGGTCTTCTTTATGAGGCATAGTCGAGTCCGCGACGTGTTTGGTTGGACACGGCAGCGATGCTCAGTATTCTCGTTTCCCACACGATCCGCGGACGCTAGAGCTCGAGCTGACGGTTCTCTCTTACAGGCATCCGAACATCGATAAAAACGGGGACGTTTGCATTTCAATCTTGCACGAGCCCGGTGACGACAAATACGGCTACGAGAAAGCAAGCGAGCGTTGGCTTCCAGTACACACGGTCGAGACTATTCTAATCTCAGTGAGTTGCTGCATCATTCGAATGAATGCGGAGAATACTTATTCGGTCCTTGGTGGAATGAAGTGAATATCGGGGTGCATCCGACTTATCCAGAGCTCTCTCTTTCGAACAGGTGATCAGTATGTTGGCAGATCCCAATGACGAATCTCCGGCGAACGTCGATGCAGCGAAGGATTGGCGAGAGAACTACGGCTTATTCAAACGGAAGGTTGCGCGTTGTGTTCGGAAAAGTCAGGAAGAAAGTTAGCCTCATACCAGCCTTTCATGCGCACATAGTCTTTGATAGCCGACCATTGAAATCGAAAGAGAAGGGAAACGTGGAACGAAAAATCAAATAAACAAAGGAGCCTGCGGAAAGACAGACACCTAACATGCCACCAAAATTACAAGGATCACCATGAGGAACGAGAGACAAGGTCATGGCGAAGACGACATGTTGTCATTGTCAGAGAGGACAAATCTTCATAAACAAAAAATAAAAAAAATAGAAAATTCCGTCGTGGAAGATTCAAATTGGGGCATATTAGTATCACCAGAATTGTCAACATTCAGACCGCTGCGCCTAAACTTGAGTTGCAGATGTGCTTTGCACTACGGCATCTGAAGTTTCCTCGCTCGGCACGAACGAACGCGACTCCAGAGAAAACTCCAGACGCGCCGTCGAGTGTTCCAGCCCCTTTGTGTTCTCTTACCCTTATCTCTTTGTTTCCAATACTCTTGGCGGGGGCTTATACCTCCTCCGATGACCGTTTGATTTTGCTCAAATTTCGGAGTCTTTCAAGGGGTTCATTCGAGCCGTGTCAGCCATATTCCCGGAATAGTGATCTTTATTAGGCGATGTTAGAACTAGGGGTGGATTGTTTGAGTGTACGACCCTCTGGAGGTCCGGTGTTCAATAGAATTCGGACACCGGAAAACAGCAGCAGCATAATCTCCTCGGAGGATCGGAGCAGAGGAAGCCGCAGTCATCGAAGTTCATCATAAAACAGTGTGGAGAAAAACGATCATTAGAACGGGGGCGAAACACGCCAAGGAACTCCAGCTCGATGAGAAGGTTGGTATTATGTGATATCATATGGATTTGAGACTCCGTCCCTGATGATTGTTTCTCCAGTATTTCGGACATGTCACATTTATACACTCGATATTTGATCGTGCCATAGTGATCTGACAGAGTTGCTTCGTCTTGGGCGAAATGTTCTGGACATATGAATACATATCGAGAACGAATCCTCCATCAATGACAGTTGTTGTGCGAAGATTCCCCTTAGGCATTTGAGCATGCTGCTAGGACGTCTGGGAGCCCAAGTCCTGGCACTCGGGGTCTCGACTCGACGTGAGAGGAGTTCTCGAATGGCTTTCAGCGTACCAATCCACTGACCTTTCTCTCCACCTCTTTTTCAGCTCAGCCTCCCGAATTCCGTGAGAAGCGCCTTCCGACATCAGTTCAGCTGGGGAATGATGGTTGAGCTCTTTGATGAACGTCCAAATGATGATCTGGCGAGGAACGGAACGCCGAAGTATTTTCAAGAAATTCTGTTCACACGATGTAGTGATTTCCGGGGTCGAGCTGCTCCGTCTCGAGGCATCCCAAGTAGGAGTCTCAACTCGGTGGCGATCATGGTACATTCGAATCCATCAGCAGAACGGACACCGTTGGCGGTGCCGCCGTAGACCCACGATTCCAACTGCTTTTGGATGATGCGGAGCATGTGTTCGTCTTGCGCGCTCTGCATCTTCAGCTTGATCAGGAGAGATTGCTGGCTGAGCGTCTCTAAGATCTCAGTACATACGCAGCTGTCTTCGACTATGTGTGGCTAAGGACTAATATGGGGCATGACAGAGATGAGGAAGGCGAGGATCTAAATTCCCATGCGGAGAAGGCTCCCGCGAGTTTATTCCGTCGCGAGAGCTGAGACCTTCGAACCCTTGCGCTGAACGACGGCACGAATTTGAGCCAAAATCTCCACCTCACGAGGCGGAGCGCGCACGCTGTGTGAGTTGCCGCTTCTCCAGCAGAGTAAGATGTACAGCGCCTTAGTATGGGTTTTCGCGATGGTTGTTAGCGGCTTTCTTATACACTTCTGTGGTTCTTGCGAGGTTTGAAATCGGGAGCGGCAGCTCAACGAGCTCTACGCCATCGATCGACACCAATGATGTCTCCGCGTTTGATGATCAATTATTTATCATTGCTGTGAGGGAAAGCGTAGTTCCAACTAAGATTCCACAACCAATAAAAGAGGATATTTTCTTGTAGAATGACATTTTTATTTTTCGTCCGATGAGAGTGATGAAAATTTCATTCACAGTCTATATGTATCTGGAACAGAAAACGAAAGGGCGCGAATTTATGGACGGAGCTCGTCCGTGTAACGATCGCGCCAATCCTTCTGAAGTCCCTCAAAAAGGAATCAAAAGCGAAAGACAGAATCGATGGTATGGTCTGAGCGCGCGGAAGGACGGGACATGTATACAGAGGCCATGAAAAAGAAGGCTCAGTACGTGACAGTCTTTCGCACGATGAGGTGCGGATAATGATCATATAATCACGCATCAATGATTGGAGCTCTTCGCTCAGGGGATCACTGGAGCGTTCTACCCCTCTTCCGGTCTCATCCGGAAATCCGACAGGAAAAGTTCGAAATTCATTGATGGGCCATCGCTGCGAAGTCTGCCGTAACTCGACCGGAGCGCACCGCCTCTCCGCCCGCCAGCCTGGCCCACATGTGAACGGAACCCGAATCCCGATCCCCTGAATGTCAATGAGTGATTGTCACACTCTCGCGATGGACATCACTACAGAGCGACTCATACTGCTTGTGGCAAGGGTTACATTCAATCTTGGCGGTCGAGTGCGCATCAAGGAAGGCGGCACCAAGCAAGATCATTGGCCGCTCTCATCATCACCGTTTCGAGACCCGTGATCTGTGGTTATTCGCTCTTGGTTTTTCACCGACCTCTGTGCACTAGCCAAGATGCTGAGCGCCGTAGGTCGTGCGTGTTCATCGGTTCTGAAAACCGTCAAGCCCCCAGTGAGCTTGGCTAAGGCCCAGGCTATTCAGGGCAAATGCCTCCCCGCACTTTTCGTCTCGGGTAAGTGGAAAAATCTGAAAGGTCCCGTCTATGATCCCACCTCGAGCGAACCGATGCGCCGAGACCGGCTGCTCTTCCGAAACTCTAGTTTGCACACGCCAGCTCCCCATTCCGCGTGTCATTTCCGAGCTGACAGTAGGGAATGTCGTTGAGTTCAATCATTGTGGCTATGTTCGAAGTTTTCGAGAAGATATCGCGCTCGCGAAGCTTCGTCCTTAACGTGACCCCGGCGTGGCTTGCTGGGAGCGCTTGATAATGAGGCTTCCGATCCTCAGGGATCAGTTAATAGCAGTTCGGATGGGATAATTCCCCGGGAAAAATTCTCCTCTGCCATACCTTGATGATGGGATGGTCGCATCGTATGCACTTCAAGAGTCTGACCTGGCATTGTTGACACTGGGGACTTGGACCCCGATTACCTCACATGTTTGAAGCCTCAGGAGCAGAATTCCGGCTGACATGAACCCTCATCTGCATTCGTTCTCGGGAATCCCGATTGGGATAGAATAATGCCGGCAATCATCCGTGTTCGGGTCGAAAGGACAGTTGAGGACGCTAGGTCACTCTTACGATTTGTGACGGGCTTCCGCTCGGGAAGTCGTGGTCGAGCGTCAATCCATACTGAAGAAACGTTCGAGAGTGAAAAAGCTTCGAAGAAAAGTCTGCAGGAGAATCGATGACGGCTCAGATAGATCGGAAGTCATTCTCTAGGTATTTCATTCGACGATTTCCCATCCGTAGTCGACTTCACACCTCAGAATCGTTGAAGTCCGTAGATTGATTCTCTCCTTTTCTACAGATAAGCGCGGAGCCGCTGCCCAGGCTCAGGCCAAGACCGGATCGAAGGGACGCATCGTAGCCGTTATCGGTGCCGTCGTCGACGTCCAGTTTGATGATAACCTCCCTTCCATCCTCAATGCGCTCGAAGTCGAGGGCCGTAAGCCCCGTCTGGTGCTCGAGGTCGCCCAACATCTGGGAGAGAGTGTCGTCCGCACCATCGCCATGGACGGTACAGAAGGTTTGGTTCGGGGCCACTCAGTCGTCGATACCTGCTCGCCCATCACGATCCCCGTCGGAACCGAAACTCTGGGACGTATCATGAACGTCATCGGAGAGCCCATTGATGAGAGGGGACCAATCGAAGCCAAGAACTTCCTCGGCATTCACGCCGATGCTCCCGAGTTCGTCGATATGTCCGTCGAACAGGAAATCCTCGTCACAGGAATCAAGGTCGTCGACTTGCTCGCGCCCTATTCCAAGGGAGGAAAGATCGGTCTTTTCGGAGGTGCCGGTGTCGGCAAAACTGTGCTCATCATGGAGCTCATCAACAACATCGCCAAGGCCCACGGGGGTTACTCCGTGTTCGCCGGTGTCGGTGAACGTACCCGTGAAGGAAACGATCTCTACCACGAGATGATTGAGGGAGGCGTCATTTCTCTCAAGGACAAGAGCTCGAAGGTGTCTCTTGTATACGGTCAGATGAACGAGCCCCCCGGCGCTCGTGCCCGTGTCGCTCTGACTGGACTCACGGTCGCTGAGTACTTCCGTGACTTCGAAGGTCAGGACGTGTTGCTCTTCATCGACAACATTTTCCGCTTCACCCAAGCTGGTTCAGAGGTATCCGCTCTGCTGGGTCGTATCCCGTCCGCTGTCGGTTACCAACCCACTCTGGCCACGGACATGGGTTCCATGCAGGAGCGTATCACCACCACAAAGAAGGGATCCATCACTTCGGTACAGGCTATCTACGTACCTGCTGACGATCTTACGGATCCTGCTCCAGCCACCACCTTCGCCCATCTTGACGCCACCACTGTACTTTCGCGTGGTATCGCCGAGCTTGGTATCTACCCCGCCGTAGATCCCCTCGATTCCACCTCTCGTATCATGGACCCCAACGTCGTAGGACAAGAGCACTACGGCATCGCTCGTGGCGTTCAGAAGATCCTCCAGGATTACAAGTCACTCCAAGATATCATTGCCATCCTGGGTATGGACGAGTTGTCTGAGGAAGACAAGCTTACCGTCGCCCGTGCCAGAAAGATCCAGAAGTTCCTCAGCCAGCCTTTCCAGGTATGCAATTAGACTAGACCGGCCCATGGCTCATGAACTCCTCGGTCGGATCCGAATCCCGTCGATGAGGAATTCGCACTAAAATTTCAAACACACACATGGACGTTACAAAACTAATGCCGCTGTCAATTCCAGGTCGCTGAGGTCTTCACTGGTCACGCGGGAAAATTCGTACCCCTCAAGGAAACCATCTCTGGTTTCGATATGATCCTCAAGGGAGAACTCGATCATCTTCCTGAAGTCGCCTTCTACATGGTTGGTCCTGTTGAAGAAGTCCGCGAGAAGGCTGAGAAGCTCGCCGCTGAAATCGGCAACTAATCGGTCGTCGCTTAACATAAAGCCGAGATGAAAAAATCTAGAGTAACATTCAATCCATCAGTCCTGTTCCGGAGCTCAGGGTCGCTTTTTTACCATCTAAGAGTATCTTGGCGAGAGCTGAAAAACAGGACCCCGGCTCAGTTATTGAATGCAAAGCACAAGGATATTTCAGTTAGAAAGCGTTAGGGATGGCAGAAGGCGCCGAGCATGTTCTAAAACGACGAGAGACGAATGAAAGGAATTGATGAGAAACAGGTCAATAAAAGCCCCTTCTGTTTTAACCATCAGAAAGCTTTATTCAATCCGTAGTACAGGTCAAAAAACTATAGTCATATAATAGCTTGTTTATATTTAAAACATCCGGTCGTTTGAAGAGAGACTCCAAAATTCTCTGTATCTACGTCAATGATGACAAACCCAGTCTTCTTCTGCGCCATGGCCAGCCTCGGCTACCAGGTTGGACATCAGAGGTCGAGAGGATCCATCGAGAATGAAGGCTAAATATCCGAATCTCGACAAAAATTATGAGATACGGACGAGTGGAATTTCTACGAGCAGACACTAGATTTCTAGAATTAAATTTAATGAAAGGAAAAGCAGCTGAAGATCGTTTAAGAAGACAGCTTCCGAGCTGGTCAAGTTTCAAGGTTTCGAGAAATTGCTGATATCGATTCTCGAGATCCGATCGTTATGATCGACGTCAGCTTCTCTGGCTCAGGGATGCGTCAGTTCATCCTCTGTGGGCCTTGCCTGAGGAAGATTATGGTATCGAATAAATGGGTTCCGCGGATCGGTTCAGCCCCTCGAAGGGAATCGCAGTCCCGTTTCGTTTTCGCGGGAAATCCGTCACCAACGACGCAGATTCCAAGCCCTGAAATAAAGAAACTAATGCCTGGTCGGAAAACTATCACAGGCGTTGCACCGACAGAGTGGATGAAGCGCTTCGAAACCTGCCGGAGTCCAGTGCTTCTTCAGGATCAGGAAGCTCCTGTTGGAGAGAGATGTCAGTTTCGGTTCCGAGGGGAAGTGATGGGCGGATTTTCTCGACTGCTCTGAAGACTCACTTGACTCAAATGCATTCCGGGAAGGCTCTTCTCGCGTCCGAGGGAACATCCCGTCAGATACACGAGTGAAGCGGTCGCTGTCAGACCCGCAAGTATATACATTATGGGATTGTAAGAACCGCTCTGTTCGCGGAAAAAACCTGTAGAAACACTTAGATCAGCGCAAAGATCGTCGGCGTGGCTATCGGGAACTCCTGCGTGCTTGGAGCGGAACTCCGGCGTACCTTGTCATCATATCAATATCAGATATCCCGCGTTCCCCCATGTCCATCTCAAGCGAATACTCTCTGGCGTTGCTCACCTATTGCTCTCGGCAGACTCAGCCCGAGCAAGCCTCCGAGGAACAAGTACATTCCGTTGGCGAACGCGAGAAGCTCAAGACCGAGTCTATCTCTCATTATGTCTGGAAAAAAAGCTTGAACCTCGTAGTCTGGTCTCTCCTTGATGCTCTGGCCAGGCTTCAAAAAATCGGAAGGTGATTGGAAGCGACAGAGGGAAATATCGACGTCCGTACCTATGAACAGGATCATGGTGGTGCCGAAAAGCCAGCCCAGGCACCCCACGGTGCAAAGCAGAGCGATCGAGTTGCTGGTCAGAGCGAGTAGAACTAAGGAAGCTGCTTTCATGAGGAAATTCAGTATGAAGAAATGTTCCCTTGCGATGAAGCCTGCAATACGGGAGCGTTATCGTGGAACAAATGAAGCTCAGTCATACTCTAGGACTCTAGGAGCTCATGGTCGTCAATCATTGCAAGGCGTCCCACGTACCACCATCCGTGATCCAGGACGACCCCAATCGCGCCAAGAGGTCCGTTCCTGCGAAGACGCCCACGAGGTTCCTCGCAATGACGGGATCGACGTTCTTGTCCCGACCGTAGTCTTCAATCAAATTGAGCAGAGTAGACAAAGTCAGGCCGAAGGCCATGTGTGGCAGCGCCATGATATAAAACCTGTGGTACGGGGCATCCTTGGAGACCATACATACATATGTACATTTGAATCAGAGCCAGATCATGTTCGGAGTACACGATTTCCGAGTCTCTTGGAAATTCCTCACCATTTCATTCTGAACAAGCGAACAATGGAACCCTTCTTGTCGACCTTGTACATTGAGCTCGGCACGGCGGATTCATTGTCCTCGATCGTCAAACGCGGGGTGTCCCTCCGAACCTGCGCAGAATGAGTACCTCTAGTCATTACGTTAGTTACGTCATTGAGTTTTCGTTTGTCTGCCCCTTCCGAATGTCTCGAGCAAATACGGAATCTCGAAATTCTCTCACCCGGTTCCCTCCCAATTGACGCAGCACGACAAGGGGAATGTTCTTTCCGGTGGGGTCGGCGTCTATCTGCTCCTTAGAAGATTTCTCCGTGAGAGGGACCTTTTTTAAAGGGAGAAAACGAGAAACGAGGTTATGACTGGCTCGATTGGAACGCTCACGACAGGGGGACATTGATCCGAATTCCGTATCCATCCAGGAAGCTCTCTCACTTTGACGTCTGCACTTTCGGCTGGCAGGGGCTGAAGCGCTTCCGGTTTATCGATTGTCAGTAGTAACAGAGACGCAGGAATTCCCTGCATGCACAGTCCAGCGGAGAGCAACAGGGCCCCGGAGAGCTGATAGGTGTCTATGCAGAGTTGCAGAACAGATGGCGCTACGATTGACAGTATAGAAGGTCCAGCCATTAGGACACCGACGGCGGCTACGCGGTATCTATCGAAGTATTGGGTGACGAGTACCCCCGACAGAGTCACTGGGATCCCGGCTGAGAATCCTTCAAGGAAAAGTCGGGAGAGTTCCTTAATTGGGGATATAGTTAGGAAATTAGGAATTGAAGGCAGTACTCAGGGGATAAATATTATGATCTTCGGTGAAATTGCGTTGAATTACCGAGCAGCACTCCCAGGGTGAGACTTAGATGCCAAATTTTCGTTGAGAAACTCGATAAAATCACTGCGAAGCTGTTAAAGCATGCAGAGAAGAGAAACAGCTTCCGTGTTTCGATCCGCTGACTTAGGAGTCCGACGATCGGACCTGGAAGCCGCAGATTCACTTTCGAAGCGGATCACCCTTTTAACAATCACCGCGGATCCCCGACCCGATATATCAGCGTCGCTCATACCACTGAAACATGTCGAGACGAAGTATGCCGTGATGGGCCAGGCAGCCTCCTCTCTGGAAACACCGAAGCGTTCGTAGATGCCGATGAAAAGGATCGATGCGCACCGGAAGACGAGTATCGACGAGGTGAAGAGCGCAGACACCGAGATCGCTGTGGGGAACATAGAAATATTCGGATTATTCAAAGGCGCAGAAAACTAAGTGTCAGATAGGGGCAACCGCCGGTTTCCGCTCTTTGAGCATTGCCCTTCATTCCGGGTATTGAATAGGAGAATGACCGAAACTCATGCTTGACTGCGGTCCCCGAATTCATGTCCGTTTTTTGACTCCATCCATTGTTCCTGGCAAGACTGTGGTGTCCAGGTAGCCCTGAATACAAAATGCACGATTCCACAGTCGATTACCTCAGGCACCTTCGCATATCTTCTCATGTCTGGATGTGGCTTGGGGGGAACGCGAAGAGCGGGTGGTTTCTCCCTTCTCAAAGATCTCTCGAATTCCAGATATCTACAGATCACAAAGTAAGTTTGTGCATGTATACGAGCTCTACGGACTACAAATAAATCAGCAAAGAGCTAAGATTCCACATCAGGTCTCCTCGAAAGAAAATTTCCCGGTCCGGCTCCGAGCAAGGTTTCTTCTCCCCGACCCAAGCAGATTGACTTTGCGCTTGAAACATATGGGACAGTATCGAAGTCACGATTCGAGGAACCGGTATCCTCGCAGTCTGACTGATCGCCCGCGGGCAGCGATTCGGCCGGAAGCTAGGAGACTACAAAGCGTCACTTTTCGACATCAGGAAGGGGGCGTCACAGAGAAAGGAGGGAGACACGTTGAATTTCTTCCTCTAGGACGATGAGCAGACATCCTTATTGATACGGATTCGAATCGTTTTCTGCCTCAGGACTTACCAAGAATCCAACTTGAGACACTGTCGAGTTTAACCGCCATCGTTCAAGCAATCGAATTTGCGAACATCCACGTAAAGGCGCGTGCTCCAGTGGTCGTGCGTGTATTTTGTCGCCACAGAGGGAGAAAAGTCAATCCAGAGATCTCTACTCAAACATCGGGGAGATTTCAGGTATGTAGCACCGAAATCGCGTCGGATCCAGCGAAACACGAGCTGCACCTCCTGGACAAAAAAAAGGATCTATACCTTAGACGTCAACGGTAAAGAAAAGCTCAACTCCCGTGGGAAGAAGAGTACCCTGTGGAACTCGACGGCAGAGGCGCGTGTTTCATGGTCAGCTTCAATGCTCGAAACGTGTGCCTCTCCATCTTGACAAAACAATAAAACGGGAATCGGCCCACTATCTACTCGGTCCCGCCCGAAATGTTGTCACCTGTCGAGAGATGCTAGGTCGACACTGAATATTGATAAGGGATGTATCGATAAGGCAACTTTTTCTTACGATTTCCTTAGTCGTCGGAGTTTCTTCCGATCCGACAATGAGCCTCTATTGGGGTCATTAACGTAATTCTTCCTCCGGTGACGTGTTCAATACCCTTGGAACATTCGATCATCCGAGGAATCACAGGTGTAGGTTTCGGGTAATGCGCACGGGACCAAGTTCAGGATCTCGTGCACGACCGCTTCAAGGTACGTGCACGACGTGGGCTCAATCATTCGGCGTGAATTGTGCGCGCTTGTCGGTGACGGGTCAAAGCAGCCTATTAAGCTTTGAGAATGAAATTCGTGAAGATTTGCGCCGTTACTCTCGTCGTTCTCTCGGTGGTCGGAGCCCACGTAAGTCCCGATGAGTCCGATAGGCTACACACTGCTCTCCATCCGTTTTCCAGCGATCACATCTCTTTCGGTGGAGGATTGCCGGCATTGAGTTCCGAGGCATTCGCGTAGGGATTGACATCCTGTGTGGATTATAGAACTTTTGAAACTTATAGCTTATAGCTTTAAGACGAATTCGAATCTTTCAGGGCGTTTCCGGCTCTCGGGAGGTTCGACAAGGTCCAGAACCCGACGTTGGTAAATCTATCTCGAAACGCTCAATTCCGAGCTTCTCTGGGTTCTTATCATGGTTCGACGGCACTACGGCAAGGAAGTTGGACTCGAAGGATGCAGACCAGGGACAATCGAGCGCAAGCGAGACTGAATCGAGGTCCGCGGACCCCAACGCTATCTCTACATCTAAAGTCACCTCGTGAGTCACGCTTCAGCCAGTTTTCTCAGTTATTTCCCAGAACGGTCTTCTATTCTATGTAATCCGTGAAAGTGTTGGTGAGGCGACGTTCCATGGTCATACCTGAAATCAGAGCTCTCCAACAGAGATTTAGGACCCCGGTCTGACCCTGAATCCGGCGAAGTTTTCGAGCGATCTCTCGATGAAGAGCTGTCGGATGACGCAGAAGTAGAGATTGCACGATCTTTCATATCCGCACTGCACCACGCACATGGGGACGATCACGCTCTGAACTCGATCATGTTCCCTGCGAAGAGTAAAGCAACGATCTTATTCCTTCAACACCCAGGTACGGCCCTGCCTAGAGAGATCATTCACTTCTCTTTGCTGTCGCTAATTTGCGTCCCTCCCGACTTGGGATTTTCGATCGTGTCGAATTTCAGAGCTCTCCTTTGATTGTCATGGGATAAAAAATGCTCAAGTCAAGTGCTATTTCAGGACCAGTCCTCGGGGATTTGAAGTTTTATCCGATTGCTATCCCGAAGAAAACTGTGCCGGCAAAAGCCGCGATAGCAGGGCAAGAGGCCCGGGATCTCGCTGCGGCAGTTTCGCCTGCACCTGCGAGCCCTCCCCCAGCGAAGCCCGTCGGCGTGGTACCTGCCGTCGTTCCTGCACCCGTACCCGCAGTCGTACCTGTAGCTGCCGTACCTGTGCCTGCGCCAACGGCCCCCCTTCCGACTGAACCAGTTTTGGTGCCTGCTGCTGCTGCTGTACCCACAGCACGGAAGGTATCTGCATCGGAACCTGACTTGATCGCGCCCGCGACTCCTCCTGCTTCTGTGCACAGCACCCCTGGAGCGAAGAAAACCATCCCAGCAAAAAAGCCACCTATTTCCATTGTGGTCGAAGACGCGAGGAATGATCGAATTTCGAGCCAGAAAGATATGCCCATATCTTGAACTGTTGACCTTCTGGGAGACACTTTATCAAAACGTCTTGATTCGTCAGACGATCACGTTTTTTAGACTGGTTCTCGATCAGAGGCGAGAGTTTTTATTTAATCGAATGAGCTGATGACGGTACATGGCAGGAGATATTGCCATGACCTCATGCTACCATGCTACCCTTGTACATGCAGCATAATGAGCTGATGGTTTCGAAATAAATGAAAGCTTTTCCTGGAGATGAGCCTGGGGACAATGAATTTGTTCTTCTTGTCCGCGACGACTGCACGCTTCGAGTTCCGACCCTCAAAAGTTCCCTCTTTAGGAGACATTCGAGGATGCCGAAGTCGTGAACTTATCTCATCCGCTCACAATCCTAGAGATTGCTCGTTTTTCTCCCGTGAGTCTCGCACTATGTCAAACTCCGTCGACCGAAAGCTCCGCGAAATTACCTCTAACTTATCCACCGGGGCTAGTTGAATGGTTCGCACTGAAAGGGAGAATCAGCGAGCCGAACTTTCTGATTGGCCTACTACAATAAAATACGTTCAGCACTCCCCTGATGAAAGTTTTCTGCGCCATCCTTATCAGTTGTCGGTCGATGTCCTCTTTTCGTCGAGCTCAGGAAAATCCGGAGTGGATCGAGCGGCTCGAACCTCTTGGGGTCCTAGGTATTCGCATCTTATGCGCATGGTTGGAGCGATCTCCTTGTATGATGCTTACCGCCTGCTGACCCTGGAGCCTGATGGACCACTCGCAGCTCGGAGTGCTGTCATGCCTCCGGGCCTTATGGAGCTTCGAATTCCCATGAAAATTTCCCTTTGCAAGAGCTCTGCTCGTGAGCACCCCGACATTCGCGGGGATCGTAAGGACTTCTAAGAGGTTTTCAATGTCAAAAGAGGTTGAGATTCCCATCCCCGGTTGAATTCCAGCTACACCGTTCTTACGGGCGAAGGTCTCCTTTTAGCGAGGGGACAAGATTTTTCCTCATATTCGGAATCGGGTTCGATTCGGGGAATCCCAAACAGAAGGTGGAAGGAGGATGTGCAACAATGTCATATTCCCCCACGTATTCTCCCCAGCCTCATAACCACAGCTCGCGTCGGGAGTTCGAAAGCTTTCGATGGGGAATTCAGCGTTCGCGACGTCCAATTGGTCCCCGGATCCCTGAGTCGGGGCTATTCGCTGAGATCAGGGTCTGTCCTCACGTAAGGCGATGCACTGTGATTGCGTCGAAACTTCTCCAATAATTTTCGGAAAATCTGCTCGATCAAGCTCCTAAGCAAGCCTCCATGATCATGATCATGATACCCGCTTCACCAAGCAGACGTCCTCCTGGAGAATGGGATGATATTGTACATGAGCAGCGAGTCTGCATCGGTATTCATCGCGGCTCGAGCCGTGACACGCGCAGTCCAGGAAGAGGACAAACTCCTAGATCTTGCAGTTTCCGGCATCTCGGGGTTGAGAATCAGAAATAGTCGAGGAAGTATGATGAAAGCTCTGGACTCACTTCGGCAAGCGGTCGCGGCCCCTGAGGCATCCCAAACTAATTGTAACAAGCTAGGTAGTGTGCTTGTCTGTCGAATTGGGTGTTTAATCAATGGTAGCATCGACTGCTTGAACGTGAAGTCGCATAAGCACCTCGTGTCCGTGATGGAGAAGTTTTAGGAGACTCCTCGGGCTGGCATGGGAGAATCGACAAAGTGTCGTCGACAGCAACCGTGCGCAACGGAGCTGAGAAGGGCGCGGACATCGCGACGAGCGACTCATCTATTGTTGTGAGCTGGATTGAAACATCGAAGCGTAGACGACGAGCCAAACCGTTCCCCGAAATCATCTCCAACATCGAGTTCTTATCGTTCGGGCTAAGGAATAACAGAATCCCGGCACAGACCTCGTGCGGGAGTCCGTCTAAAAGCAGAAGAGGGAGGAACTTTCAAGAAAAGCGCATAGCGGCAAACTACCCAGAACTACCCCAAACCCCTAGAAGAGAGGAGTTGTGTGCTCCTGATTCATTCTCCGTCTCGTCGGTCCGGAACGGATCATCGCTTCCTCCTGCATGAGTTTTCCAGGCACGGGTCAGTGGAGACGCGAGGCTTTACGATGTCCGAGGTAGGCCCCAGACCTCCGAGAGCAGACTCTAGACTAAACTTAATGCCCTTTGAGTCTGACGCTCCCGTGCCGTGAAAAAACATGCAAGCATTATCCAAATCGCGGCTCCTGTCGTATTCTGCGAGCTTCTCCCCGCTGGAATCCATCTTCCCCTTCGCTTCCCCTCGGTCAAATATCTCGCCATTCCGATCCATGGCTAAACTCATTATTGGAAGTTTCGACAATCTTGATCATGACTTTCATCGGTCTCATTGTCAGATGGGCTTAGGTGAGCTGCGAATTATTCGTAATCAACGAACCCGAATAGATCGAATCTCTCATCTGTTTCGGCATGGATTATCGCTAAATTTCCGAATGGTCCGGATTCGACATTGAAGTGATCAGTGATCTTCATTAAAAAAGCTTACAAGAAGGGAAACATTGAAGCGGAAATTCGGGCGTATAACACGCGATCCGTCTGCGGCGATTCGGGATATTGGATCGATTATTTAGTAGCGTGGCGTAGGTACTAATGAGAGCTGAAAACCAACGAATGGGCGTGATGATGACCGGCGCGGATTAAGAGCGCCAGTAATTCGGAGGGATTCGACAATAATTCATAGTTTTCCGACTCGGCACCATCTATTTGATGGCGCGATCGTTCGTCGAACTAAACGATGAGTCGAATCAGCTCTCCGGATAGGTTCCACGAAGCGGATCGACTTGGAACAAAAATCATCTCCGGGAGCTTGGTGGCCGATTGCTCAAATGAATGGCTATCAGCCGTCGGCGATGCAGGAAAAAATCCAGGAATGCTTGCAATCATGAGCCATGAGTTCTACGGGAACTAGGAGTTTCGGACATCAGACTTCGAGTTCATACTGCGCGTATGGCAGGAAGGACTCCGGAATGGATCTGTTCTTCCGGACCATATTCCAGCCTCTCGCTCCCAGCCTGCTGACTTATAGACTGCGCAGCAGAATTGCGTTGAAGCTTCCATTCTGCGTCAGCTTTGCAAAACGAGCATTCACCAAACTTCAGCAACGCTCCCCTTGGAACTTATCTTCATTCAGCCCTCCGGGTCTCTTCGAAAGGGGATCTGAAATCCAAAGGCTCCGCGCAGGCTCCCAAGATTCTACATGTGCGCTTTTTCTCCTTTTTGGACCCTTTCGTGGGATTGGCGAGCTGAACTCCGCGCATCTGGGAGAAGATTCACTGCGGGTCGTACGAACGTCACGAGAGTCCACACGCACCCTCGGTAATGCTCGAGTTCTGACTCCGACTCTTGACATCGTTGCAATCATCGAGGATCTTAAGTCCTGATTCTGTTTGGTTTCTCGGGACCTCAAAATCGAAATTGAAACTGAATGGCGATTCGAAATCTTATCACGAGCTGCCCGCATCTGATTCGGAGTTTGTCCGACATCTGACTCCTAGGGACTCCAGTTTACGCAGCCGCCCTCGCATACCGCACGAATGCACCTGTTCAAACTTCAGGCGAGGCTCCGTTTCTCATTACATATCGGCAAACCCATTCATTCCTAAGGATTGACTTCCTTCATTTCAGGGAGATTCCAGCGCTCATGGAGCTGATATCCCACCCGTCACGCATATTTCGAACGGGAATTCGTATATCTCGGTCCGGCCAACTTTTGGAACGGGCTTCGGGATTATCCTCCAGTTTTTCCCAGCTTATACGAACTCCCGTATTTCGGAAGCGAGAGAACACGAGATTCACAGATTCGGTGCGGATCCCGTGAATGCTGGAAAAAATCAAGACAATTGACGGGACAATGGGACTGTGACCCCCACCCGTGAGCGGACGAAAAATCTTAGAATGATGGACACTTGTCGCAGACGAGACTCTCCTTTTCGGGAGGATAATGACGACGATAGAGAGTTTCCAGGACCGTGCGGCGAGAGCCTTGCATCAATTGTATCTAGAGTCGGGGTCTCGGCTGAAGAGTTCAGCAAATGACCGCTGAATCCCTCTCATTACGGCTCAAACGGCCGAGGATCCTCGAGCACCATCACAATGAACCAGGATAACCGACCGATGCGTGGATCGTAAAGAGTTTTCGATCGTTGTTTCTGTCTCCGCCCGGTATCAGGGATATCCCAGGAACTCAGGTTCCCTGCGGCAAGTCCATCGAGCCCCGAGTTTCTCAGTCCACTTCAATTGATTCTGGGCTGACAGCGGAGTCGATCTCAAAGCGTTTCCAGTCCATTCCCACTGAGGAATGGCGTCGATAGCAGATCGCGTGTTAGTCGCGGGAGGAGATTGCCCGCCTGATGGACATAAGCAGTAAATGGTCATTCAGCCCCGTCAAAATAGATCAGAACCGATTGATTTGCAAATCGTTCTCCGAGGCTCCGATGAGCCCGACGATTGCCGAAGTCCTCACAAGCCCGGAACAGCTACGAGAGGATGGAATTCGGCGAGAGCGAAAACATTGAATGATTCTCAACGCTGAGTTGTCGGACGTGCCGCCGGAAACTCAGAAGCTCATGCTCCCGAAACGCACCCATAAGCGGAAGGCGCGGCCGGGAGCGAAGTCCCCGAATTTTGGTCAATGGCAGAGTAAGCCAAAATATACCAAGCTACGTCAAAACATAGAGAAACTGCGGGACGCATTTGAGGCCCAGAGGAGATCTTCACGATATCCCGATCCGAGAATCCGATCAGCGGCCGCGGCCTGAACCGCATAGATAGGAGGTCCTACCATTTGTTCAGGAAGCGCCAGACCCCCATTGTTTGTTGAGGATCGTGCTGGGAATCGATCATCCACTCGTGTTGTCACGAGAAGAAACCGCCCCGTTCAGATCATGATTGAATATGCCTTCGTGGTATATGTATATTGTTTGTCGGATGCGATACTCATCGTACTGTGTCGACGCCACGACCTCTTCGTCGCAGCCGTGCATCAACATGAAGACCGAGAGCCTTTCAGAAGCACATTGTAGCTCTCGGGACGAGGGGACATTCATGCCGCATGACAGCAGATTGATCGGCAATACGACTCCGCGAAAGGAGCACCAACTCTCGAGCCTCAAAGCAGAAACACGGAACAGCAGAGCATACCATCACGACACATGTCTAGAGTCTGTCTTTCTAGGCGCGACTGCGGGCCCGCACGTTCGCGATTCTGGGACCAGAGCCCACGGCAGTCCCATGATGATAATTGGTGGTATCCCGGTGGTATCCCCGGGAAAACGATAATGCGACGACAAATGAGAGAGATCAACTGTTAGTAGAGAAATGCCCCGCTAGTATTTGCTTGAGAGAAATTCTTCGGAACATCGATTTTACGTGAGGTTGCCACAGACTAAGGTTGAGGACGATTCCGATTGACGAAGGTGATCCGACATGCAGAGTTCGGGAGCTGAGACGGCCCGGTAATAGGCGAAGTATTCGAGTAAACTCGCCACACACTGGCCATAGCCTCAAGCAAACCGATCAGATCATCGAAGTTGGCGATTTCCCTGATGAGCCTTAACGCCTATCGTACCTCTTTTTCGGGGCAGCACCGTTCCTGCAAAATGCTCGGGAGGCGCTACCCCGCCGCCGGACGCTTCCTTTCACCAGTCGCTCAATTTGGTCATCCTACTGATCCAACCGGGCGAGCTGTGTCCGGGACGAGATTGTCTGGGAGGTGAGGCTGTCTCTGCGGGGAGCCCCGCATACCCTTGACGAGTGATTTCCTTAGCAGCACGTACCGACGCTCATCCACGCACAGCACGCCGAATAGACACCGATCAGATGATTCAATCAAGCGTCCGGATTGACGCCCGTGCCTTCCTGCAGGTCCACTGCTTCTCTTCGACTGGTGGCAGATCTCCAGGTGCACTAGGGACCGCTGGCTGCTCGTTGAATCCTCCTAATCCATCCCAAAGGTCTCATGTGCCAATCGGCACAGAGAAGTGACGTTTATTAGGCATCCTACCGCTTGTGAGGTGAGCAAGCCCTTCGGCCTGACGCTCGTTCTCCAGGGGACGGCCACTATCGGATGGTCTTCAGAAGACCGACCTCAGAAAAGATGAAATTCGGACAGAGAGTCGATTTGGGCGACGAGGCAAGTGTAACGCGGTCGTGTTCCGTGTCGAGCTCCGCGGCTCCGGATGGATCGATGCTCCGTCGCGAGCAAAGCCCCTCGTCGTCCCAAATCGGTAGAGCGCTCATGTTTAGGAAAGCTTTGATCTGGGAGCAATTTTCCTGCCCGCGTGCTACTCTGTCTCCGAACTTGTAATCCGAGTGAGCGCTGAGCTCCTCAATAATCAGAAGCTCCGATTCGACGCCCCTCGGAGCTAGTGCTGATGACGGCTCTGATATTCTTCCCGACAACTATTACACAGGTCCTCACTACGGATGTTGGCGAAAATCCACCGAGAAACGGCGATGGGTCCCAGCTCCACCATTCCGGCCGCTTCGAGATAAGGGGAACTCGCTTGATCTAAGCCCGGGGCGCACGGACGGCGACGACGATGATGGTGAACGACTCAAGGAGATTTTGCAACAATTTATGGAAGTCCCTCCGAGGCTCCCCACTCGGTAAACTCGAGCGGCAGCAGCGCAGCGTGACCTTGACGAAATTTCCAAGGCGAAGACACCGAACAGCCCTCCTGGAGGCGCTCTCGAACTGAGACGTGCTCTGACCACGGCCCACTCGAGCGAATGTCTGCGGGTAAACAACGGTGCCTTTCGCAGCGACTCCCGGACAAAAGCTCGGGCAGTGAACCAAGTGGAGGAGCGTCGGTCCGTCCGACTGTCTGTTGACTCGTTTTACTTTGACCCGGCGAATTTTGGCAAAAAAACCCTCCCCCCAACACCGTCTGGACTCCGGAGGCCATACGCCGCACGCTACAAGACTACCGATTTGTTGGTGTCTTGACAAAAAAAGGACCATGCCCAATGGGATCTGACTCTTTTTTTTCCAGGACGAGAGTGAGTCTTCGTGGAGAATGCCCGCGACCAGGCCACTGAGCCCATTCGACCTTTGGACAGTCTCCAAAAGTAGGGCTCCGAGCTTCGATTCGACTCCTCGTCCAGCTCCTCCGCAGTGCCGGGAAATTCCCAGAGTCCCTCACTGCCAGCTCCTGAGTGAGTCCGAATAGCTGGAACTGGAACAAGACGCGGATATCAGAGATGTCCCCTGACGTCTCCCGTTCGTGATCACTCCGAGCAGAACGAAGCCTCTCGCGAGGTCATCCTGACCGAGGCGAGGAGATCCGTTCGGGAGGATTTAAGAAAAACAGCCGGGACCGGGAAGCCATGAGCGGGGCCGCTGAGCACGATGGCTCGAAAACAAACTTGCCAAGCTTGTTTGCAAATTATAACCAGCCGGAGCGGGCGGAGTTCGGCTGGAAGAATTTTTTCCTCATTCCTTTCCCGGGAATCGTTCTTGGTGGAGGCTCTCAGCTCGGCGGTTCCCCGTGCCGTTCACTCTCGGCAAGAGCGACAGTGACGATGGCAGTGATGACGGCGGCGCGGCGACCCAGCGAGCGAGCGAGCGGTTGCAGTTGCGGCGATAGTAGCAGTACAACATAGGACGGGTCCGACGCGTTTCCAGTGGTTCTTCCTACACGGCTCGATATCTCTTTCCATCCTCCTCGGCGGGTGGCCTTTCCCTCGACCGTCTCTCCCGCTCTACCTCTCACAAGGAACACGCAGCCCGATGGCTGCCGCCGCTGCGGCTGCAAGTATTCAGTTTAAGACCGTCACTGACACTCTTCGGTGGTCGAACATCTACCTCACTCGGTGATTCTCCCGCAGCCGTAAGAGGCAACTTTGTCCCGCGGCCGTAACCCCACCATTCCTGTTCCTTGGCCTCTGAAGAATCCGCGTGAACCCCTCCCAAGACACTCGACGGTCATCATGCCTCAGACGTGGGGATACTCCGAATGCAATGGTGAGTCGGTCCATCGAACACTTCGTTTACAGTGGGCTTAAAGTTGATGACACGTTCCGAAGTCGGACTGGCTAGCTGCAGAATCCCATTCCAACAGTTCGTGATCGATATTCTCGAACTGTCATCGATTTTGAAGCGTTCCGAAACACTAGGAAAAGTCCCCTAAAACTTCCCGCTACTGAGACACACGGGACAAGGTCACCGTTGAGGGAATTTAATGTCGTGCAGCTTAGGTTACTTGACAGTCGTGAAACGAGACTCGCAGATGTTTGCTTAAACTATTCGAGTCGAATTAGCGCGGACTCATCAGGAGCGGAATAACTTATGGAAGGAACTTCCAATCCGTTTTCCGATGATCGATTTTTTTTCGAATTTCGTCCAGAATTCCAAAATCCTCTCGGCTCAGGGTAAAATCACATCGGTGTCGGATGTTTCGTGTCAGTTCTCTTTTACGGAGTCATCAGAAAAAATCCTGGGAAATTCGCGTGGGACTAGCTCGGCTCGCTGTGGCGCGAAGAGCTCAAAGCAGGGTGTGAGCACGTTCAACGAACCAGTTATATGTTCGTTACCTGTTTCCGAGGTCGACCAGTATCGAATTATGCGGACACAGTCATTTTTCTTGTCGAGAAAGCATATCTTCCAACTCTATCTCTCGCTTTCAGTAAGAACCTTCTCTTGAATCCCTTCCTTTTAGTTTTGAGCCTGTAAGGAGGTAAGACAGTAGCGCGTCAATTATCTCGTAAAACAGCCTTAAAAGCCTCGATATGAGAGAAATTCCTGATTTTCTTGAAGAGCAAACCCGGATTCCTTCGCCCGTTAGCTGGTGTCGTAAAGACCGCTCGCACCAATCTGTGCTGATCGATCAATTCCGCTCCGATGGGACGAACTCTTTTACCGGACTCTAACAAATGTCCCATTCAATCGGCGCGCATCAATGATTCACCGAATCCGTTCTGCGGTCGTTCTCATGGCTCGAAAATTACGAATCGCTTCCGATGGTTACGCTTCCTCACAGCGCAGTGTTTGTTGACCGTCCACCGGAATGTTTTAGCGATCTGGTCGCTTGTACCAGGCCGTGATTCGACTTCTCGGTGGCTGGGCTGTAGATCGATCCGTCAGAGCTGCAGGAGCTCCTCCGCCACCGTCTCTGTTTCCTTTGAGATCTCTCCTTCAATCTGTTCAGTGGATCACGTTCAGATCGGTGCCTCGGCGAGTGATCCTCGTTCCCGATCCCGAGGATAGAGAGTTCCGTCGCTACCGATGGCAACTCGGGGACACAGCGTAGGCGTCCGCAAATTATCGGCTTAGCCACAGCGCTAATCGCTGGGAGAAAAAATTTTGGATCTTCCAAGTTTCGGGAAACCGAAGAGCGAGAACGTCTCAAAGGCTGAAAGGCTCAGAAGCTGTCAGGAGCCTGTATCAGGGCGAAGAGAACAAAGGAGGGAGAGTGTTTCTGATAGTATAAAGGGAAAAACGAGAAGCGGGACGGATTGGGAACGAGGTGGCGCGTGTCTACCATAACGGCCTCGTCTGACTGCGAGGTTCTCCGAGAAAAGACCAGCTAGACGCTAGACTTCTGTTCGGGGAAAATTCCACCCTTGGCCCTGGACCAGGCGGAGTAGAAGTCGAATTGGTTTTGGAGAATCGTCTTGTAGAGTTGGGCGAAGGAGAGACGAACGCGCGAGCAAAAACAAATGTTGTCTTGTCCCTCTGAATCCATCGCAGACAAACGATTCCCTGCTGTTCCTTTGAACCTTCTCCTACCTGTATGTTGCCGTACCGGGCATCTGGCCCCTCTTTCCTATCTTCTCTAGACCCGATTGGGCTCTCCAACGGTATATCGCCTCGTATGAGTTCGTTCAGAGAACAGTCCTGTGGCCGCGAGCTGTTTTTCCAAGCGATGCCGATTCCAGTCCGGTACACCAGCGAGAGTTAACAAGCACGCTCGCTCGACCTTACCAATGGCTCGTTACAGGCCGCTCCCACCGCCTGTCCTCAGGTCGTGAATATTCTCGAGAATTTAAGAAAGAGAGCCGACTGCAGTCGTCCGAGAGCCATACTGGCTGGACTTTCGCTCGTTCTACGGCTACGTCTCATTTTCCGATGGATGTCGCGTTTCCCCAAATGTTTCTCGACCGACCGTCTCCCCTATGTGACGGTAAAAATTTCATTCAGGTGCCGAATATCGTGCCGACCCGGCAGATCGCCGCCCTCATCCGATAATTAGATTCGTCGGAGACTCTGATTCTCCTCCAGCTCGGTCCAGGAGGAAGGCGTCTCCCATCAAGAATTATCCTCTTTGGAAACTTCACGGCGGATCGGTTCCCCTTATCCCGCGAGTGACCCGGGCGAAGCACGAACGATAAGCAACGGTCTGGCACGGAATTGCGCTTGAAAGCGACTCTTGCATTACGCGAGCGTCATTCCCCCGTCGCATTGTGCGGCTTCGGAGCGATCCGTCGCTGTCAGCCGTTGCCGTAAGAATGGGAATCGCCGCAGTGGCTCAAACGATAGCGGCTCCATTAAATGCTCGGTATGCGTTCCGTTTGAAGCGGTTAGCATAACCAAGCGGGTCGGGCCGCGAATACCGATAATTTTCAAATGGCGACGCCCATAACGACCGCGGTGCGTCTGCTGGTCAGGTGCCATTATTCAGTTTCGAGACGAGCGGTGGTGATTCTTCCGCTCCGATGAACATACCCCAGTAGCCTAATCACGAAGCGGCGGTGACTCGGTCGCCTGTAAATCTCCTGGTCATCGCGGAGGAACTGAGAAGTCGTCTGATTTTGGTCTTTCTTCCTGGTCGGCGTTCAGTGGGTTTATGGACCCACAAACGGCTTGGCATTCACTTGCTCCAGGCGACGCGGAAGATTGCGGGTGTTCGTCTGATAATGTTGAGACAAGTTCACCCGACGCCGACGGGGACTTGCGCCGACATCTGACTGACTGATCGCGACCGAAACGACGTCGACGGTCGCGTATAAGCTCATGGATGGACACACTCGTTGAACGGAAGAGCGCTTGCCGTTGCTGAGGACATCCTGCATTACACATCGTCGACATCGTTGACAAGTGCGGATAGCTGCGCTTGTGGCGACGCTGGTCTCTGTTGATGGCCGGGGATTCCAGAGCGATAAGTGAAGCTCCACTCTCGGCTTACGTCGTCGGCTCGAGGAAGCTCCGATTCGGAGATGCGGACACGGAAAAGATTCGCTTTCCGGAGAGCCATCCCAAAGGAGCAACGGCCGTGTCCGGCAAAAAGGGAAAACGAGAAGGGCTACCGAGAAGCCTCACAAACTCGAAAATTCTGTATTCTGTAAAAGGAGAAGAAGCTCGGAGCGAAGAGTTGAATAATTGCTCGCGAAGCAGAAGCGCCAGTCGTCCATTTATGTACCCTGGAACTACGGAAAACCGGCGCGGCGGTTGCAGGTCGATGATGCGGAGGAGCTTCGTCGAGATATCATAGAATCTTTCCGCCTCCTTCGACTCCAACTCTGGAAGGAGAAGGGGGGCGACACCCTCGGAACGAGTCCGATATTCATATCCTCAGAAAAGTTTCGGTAATTCCACGCGAGACGCGGAGGGAACGGACTCTTCGTTCCCGAGTCAGTAGACAACGAACCGTGCTTCCGATTCTGCGGGCACATGCTTCCGATTCAGCTGCCTTTACGAATGGGAACATGTACCAGTGGTCGCAACTCAGAGCCAGACGGAATTTTCTATGAACTCTCTGTACTTTCGGGGTTGCCCCGAAAAGTTTTGCGCTCAAGTCCATGTCCCGAGTCTCTATCTTCTAGGGGAGTCTGAATCCTCGGAAAACGTCCGAGCGACCCATTCAGATCAGGCGAATCGTTCGGATCTGGACAGGACTCCCGGATGGACTCCACGAAACAGGGGCCGTACCGGCCTAGATATCTTCGACTCAATGATCAATTCCGATTGCTCTGCGGAGTGAGTGAGTCATTCATTCTGGACTCCGGCGCCGTTACAGAACGATCGCGTCGATTGTTTCGTCGTTTGGATCGCGACCTTTCCTTTCGTTGGCCGTTCGGGTGAAACTACCGAAAACCTCAGCATTCGAGCCTCACTCACCGTCATGCCGTCGCCTCCTGGCAAGCGACACGAGAACCGAACCCAAACCAATGGTGTAATAAGCGTGACATTTCCGACTCGAGCCAGTCGCCCAGCCGAATCATCACTGATGGATATTTCACTGACTGAGAAGAAGAAGAAACTTCATCGGATCGCCTCCAATCGGAAACTCTCTCGAGGAGAATTGCGAAACGACTTGAAAATTTCGCGGAAGTCTCCAGGACGTACGGGAAAGGAATTCATCCCGATGAGATGCTTCCAGTATTGCTTTCGTAAGCCACGTAGCGTGCATAATGCATGCGAGCACGAGATCTACGGGGAGGCTCCCGACGTGCGTCTGCTGTTTGTTCCGAGTGAGATTCATCTGAATGAGACTCATTCAGAAATCAACCGCGGAAAGCTCGGAGTATTTGGACATAAAGGGCTCATCGATTGCGCAAGGTTGAGCTCACTGATGGAAATCCCGAGACGAATTCTTGTCTCTCTATGAATGCATCGCTTTCCGCCCCGGTCACCCCACGGTCACGAATCCTCCGAAACCGTCCGATGCCGTAATGATCCCACAGCATATTGAGCATATTTGAGCGCATCGGTACCGTTGAACCTCCGTAAACAATCCGAGCCCAGATTGATACGGTCTCCGACATCTTGGAAACAACAAAGTTGGCCTATCGCCAGTTTCTCGTGGGAATCTAGAAATCTCGCGCTTAATCCGGAAGCGCTCCCCAGAGATTCCGCCGCGTTCTTCGAAGCCCAGAAGTCTAGATCCAAAAACGGAGCTCTACAACAGAGTATACCCGCTCTGAGCGAATCCGAGCGGAAATTCGATGCGCAGACACAGAGATTCCGCGCTGCAGCCTTTGACGGTGCAGAGTTTTCGCGCATCTGATTCCCGCAGGTCGATCCAG